TCACTACCCGCCCTCCAAACCTACTCCTTGCCACCCCCAGATCCCCATGTTTATGTTTGTCCTCTCAGGAATGCATACTCCGAAAGGGCAGAGATCACTTCCAGAATAATCACCATTGTATCTCAAAAAGGCACACACAACATCTGGAAGCAAGTAGCTTTTCGATAAATATTTGTTAAGTGGATGAATCAAGGAGTAAGGAAGATTGGTTATGTGGAATGCACCAGAGTTGGGCTGAATTTATGGAAGAGTACTGACAGAAGATGAGACGAAGGTAAATTCATAGTGTGAGGATAACTTCAGGAATGTGTGGAGATAAATCCTGGACCGCAATTTCAGGTGTAAGGAATAACATTTACATTTATATTTATAAATATAAATCAAGCTCGATCCAGTTCAAGAATTCCGTTCTCCCAGGTTGGTGGAAAACTTAACCTCAGTTATTCCTGCGTTTCCCTTTCCTGCTTCAAGGGGAGCTAGGATTTGAGGGCTTCATGTAGGGTCAAGCAAGGCCTTTGGCCACATAGCCATTGTCTGTCCTGGCTGCAACAGGGATAGTCACCGACCATTCATACAGTTCCTTCAGCTGGCTCTCTGATGTCTTCAGGCTTCTTTTAAAGCTTGAGAAACCTCTACCAGGGATGCTACAGGCTTGTCTGCTCAGACACAAGACGCTCAGTCACTATCTGAGGCTCTGCCCTCTCTGCGGTGCTTCAGGGGTGCTGCTAGAAGTGTGGGAGCTTGCTTGCTTAAATTTGATACCCTAGACTTTTCTCTGTGTCCCCCAACTCTTGGGACTCCATTTTCATTCTGCTGCTTCTCAAAGCATTCTTACGCTTCTGTTATTTCTAGTGCACCCAGCAGAATCCTTTGAAATATATGTATGACAGCCCCTCTCCCTTGGACCTTGCTGTTCCAATTATTTGGCTATCTTTTTGACAATTTCAACAACAGAAAAAAATAGAATGAATAAATATAATTTAATATTTCATAAACTTACTCTGCTAACAGGGATCAACTTTTGCCCAGGACAGAGGCAGAGAGTATGATTATGGTCACTTCATTCTTGTGCTTACCAAGTTAACTTAACCTGGGCGCAGCTCTAGCATCCCAGTGTGGCCAAGAGGACTCGTTGTCCCTCCAGCCCCTCCACACATCTCCGTCCTCTTCTCTAGTGGGGCACACTGGCACTTTGCTGGCGGGAAGAACACATTCTCCTTTTTCACACGCCCGGGCCTTCTGCACCGGGCTCAGGCCCACGCCTGCTTCCGACAGCGTCTCTGCCGGCTCTCTGGCCCCAAGATGGACCCTCGCTGTGGTCAGTGCCTTTTCCCACCAGGGTTATACATGGTGGCTGCCTCACCTTATAAGAAGAGATGTGCCAGGGCTCGCCAGGGAAGTTCCAGTTCTACTTAGATGACCAAATCCCGGAAGCTGGACGATACACTGCTGACCAGAGGGCCATTCTCGTGCTCTGTGCGTGGCATCCAGAAACATGCTCCAGTACAGCCTCCACGGCCACGTCTGCCCAAACTTTTGACCTAGACCACGTGCTTCTTGGAGCTGATCTGAGAGACGCATTCGCACACAGCAAAATTACATGTTTATAACTTTGCATACTATAGCAGTTTGTTTGTTTTTTTTAATAGCAAAATCCGGCAAAGTTAAATGCTCCCCAGTGGAGCTCCTTTTTTCTTCTTATGCCCTGTTGAGCCCCTCTCCTCTCCTCTCCCTCCAACTCTTGATTCCCTTCCCTGTTGCAAAACTTAAATGTCCTTAGTTTCCTATTATCTGTCTTTCACTTTGCTCTTTAATTTATTTATAGTTTGGAATCTTCATGTAAGAAAGGTCATGTAGTATCTAAGCTTGTGTGTTTGATTTATTTTACTTAATATTCTTGCATCTATTTTTCTGAAAATAAATCACATTTATTTTCTTTATGGCAGAATAGGACTTCGCTGTGCATAAATACCACACTTTATTTCTTTTATCCTGCTCTTTACCTTCTACTTTGGTTTTCTCTTCTAAAAGGAAGCATATGATACTTAAATTTGCATGTCTAATTTATTTCACTTAGCAAAAAATTGGTGTGTAGAACAAGGCATATGGCAAACTACATTTTGTGTAAGAAGGGTAATTAAAAATCCACAAACACATATGTATTTCATTTATATGCATAAGCACAGAGAAACTGTGAATCCGTTCAAGAACCTAATAACCATGATTATTTATATGTGGAGAAAGGATAGAAACTGGCATAATGGGAAACATGGCGGGTTATAAAGAATAAAAGCATTTCATGGAGTTCCTTTCTATTGGCTACATTATACATAATTATAAATGAGGCAACATATTAAATTAATTATTGAAACAAAATTCATTAAAAAGGTTATGATTTATTGCTTATCTCTTCAAATAAAGGCTATAACTGAAATTGTTTAAGCAAAATTAGGTGGTTAATTAACACTTTAACGGTCAGTTTTTATGATATTCACTGAAATAACTGCTATATCCTCTCCTCAAATCTACCTGGACAAATACTAGGCACTGCGTCCTGCTGAAGAGCTGGAAGTGCTAGTACTTTCAGAAGCCAGTTTTTAGGAATAGACGCAAGAATCTTTTGTTCTACATGATTGAAACTGACAAGAGGGAGGTGTGGCGAATTAAGTGAACTCAATCTAGAAACAAGAAGAGAAAGACAATTCTTCAAAGTACTTCTGTGTCTATTCAATTGAAATATATAATGCATAAAAATAAGAGCAACAAATGATGGTCAATGGATATTTTTTTTTAAAAAGGAGGGTCGCCCCATCTAGAAATAGCTGACGCTGTCAGATAGACAATTCCTCTGAACGTGTAACGAGGAGACTGGTGAGTCCTGGTGAGTCCTTCTAAATCAGATGCGGTGCTAGTGAAACAGATCGTAGATCTGTTTGGAATTTGTTATTTGCCAAAAAGGAAACTGATAATCGAAGTATTTAGGCTACCTATATCGTTGCTTTGAGATGAATGCAGTCACCAACGCCACTGAGGTTCTAGTTCCAGATTGCTGACGTTCATAGCGCTGGATGCGCCCGGAAGTGCTGTGACCACTGCTGCGACCTTCGCTCTGGGTTACAGCCAGCGCCCTGCAGCAGGCAGCCAGAGGGCACTAGCTACCTTTTCCTAGAAAACTATTCATTTCTTTTATACAAGTCCTAAGCATTTCATTAATAAATATTAACTTGCAATTGTTGATTTCTCTGTTCAAAATTCACAGGACCAGTGAGTAACAGTTGGAGTTAGTACTCTTTTTTTTTTTTTGTCTTTTTGAGATAGGGTCTGTCTATGCAGTCAAGGCTGGCCTTGAGCTCCCAGACTGGTCTTGAACTCACAGTGGCTCGCCTGCCTCGGCCTCCTGAGTGCTGGGACTACAGGCATGTGCCACTACATCTGGCACTTTAAAGTCTTTTTTTTTTTTTCTTTTTTGTACTGGGGATTGAATTCAGGACCCTGTGCTTGCCAGGCAGGCACTTATGCCATTGAGCTATCGCCCTGGCCGCAGCAACTCTTCAACGTATATGTATATTGTGAGCTGACTGTTAATATCTTTCATTTTTTTAGAAGGAGTATCAAAGTTTTAGGAATTTGGGCTCTGTTCATCATTGCTGCCTCCAAAAGTACTGGGTATAATTCAGAACACAGTAGTGTCGTATTTTCTTTCCCCCTCCTAGAGAATCATAGAATGATTGGAGGCATCTTTTTTCTAGGCAGTTGCTTCCACAATTATGAAGAGCACATTCACATCTGCTATAAGAACTTAACACTTTAACTGTTTCACAAATAAAAAATAAATGGGCATATTACAATATTCTGCAACTTTGACTCAGTTCCCTAAACACAGCCATAAAGGGAAAGAAAAACTATCATCCAACTGACTGGGCTTAATTTCCTTTTTCTATTTGGTATAGATGCACCACCTGGTGGCAAAATAGTGCATTTTAAGTCCAGAATGTGAGTATGAGTGTGTGTGTGTGTGTGTGTGTGTGTGTGTGTGTGACAGAAGATTTTAATATATATTACTAAATACTTATTTAGGTTGATTATAAATAGCTCTATACTGATTATCTAATAAAACATTCGAACACAACTATATATATGCTTGTATGGGAAGTAGTGAATAACATTTTGGGAAATAAAGCAGCTTCATCTTATTTTTGTTAGCTATAGATCTTACCATTCTACCCCTAAATTAATATTTATTTATTGTGCTATAGTTCTTACTGAGGCAAAAGTCAATCACTGATAATTAAGGGAAAACGTTATTTTACAGTTTTAAGAATGATAACGCCTAAAAAGATGTGTGCTCCTTCTTATCTCAGCCATTAGTGTAAGGCATGGGCATGGAATTTTGAGACTTAAGGCATCGCAGGATAACTGAGGCTAACACACTCATTTACAAACGTAGCAGCAGCTGGGGATCAGGGGCACCAAGACACTTGTCCAAGGTCATGCTGGCTGTTAGCAGGCAGACTCAAGAAATGAGGGCTTCTCACTGTCTGCCTGAAAACATAACAGTGACACTCATGCAATGGCAAATTATCTCTGTGTGAAGACATATGGGCTTAAGTAAGTAATAAAATGCTTTAAAACACCAACATATGAGCTCATGCATGTTCATTTTGTTTTGATATTCTGAGCACAGAGGGCTACGGTAATGAAAGAAATGCATGCATCATAAATCTATGGAAAGGATTTGCTAACTTCTAAACCTCATAAATGTATATATATGTATATTCAATGAGATGTTTCCAGAGTTCATACAACTGTTGTGTTATAAGTAGGATCTAAAAATCCCCTTTCCCCTTTCCCCTGGTTCAGAATCAGGATTTGTTTCTACAGAGTAGAGACACTTGTAGATTGAAGCATAAACTATGTTCAGAGCTCCCTCTCATGACCATTGAATATTACACAAGTCTCCTTTTATTCTCGCTGTTGTATTCCACTAACAGCTCACTGGTTAAGTTTTAATTGCTTCCAATGAGGTCAGCAAAGGTATTTATCGAAAAGCCCTGAATAAAAGGCTCTACACACACACACACGCACACATGCGCTCACACACAGAGAGAAAATCCTCTTGCCTGTTGATTTATGGAAACAATTATGATTCTTCTGGAGAATTTCTCAGCTGAGAAATAGTTTGTAGCTACAGTAGAGGGGCTCAAGTTGCACAGGCAGACAACAGACATGGAATTCTTGTGCATCCAGCTGTTATAAACAGAACAAGTAAGTTACTGCTATTTCTCTTTAAAAGCAATGTTGAATGTTTTCTAAAGTTATCTCTTGCTCTAATAATGGTACTAAGGGGGAAAGTAGTTACCAGATTTTTAAGCCATGTAAATATCTACAGTAATTATGCCGTAGAACGTACATAAAGACAGGCTGGAATATTCTAGTATAATTCTGACATTTAACTTGAAAAATGTGGGCTGTTCAGGAGAAAATAATTGCTTAACCACAAATGTAAAAGCATACCATAAAAAGCTAGGGAAAACGTTTTTACTTTGTTAGTAGTAATTGCAGAACTTGATTTAAATCAACAGCTCTAAGTATGGGGTGTTTTTTACAATGTAGCAACTGGAATGAGTGGTACAGTCATGTTCTGATTTCTCTGCACTAATGTAAAGCTTTTATAAATCTACATATAGAATGGTGAAGATGTTGACATCCTCTGTGAAAGCTGCTTTGAGTATATCTTCAGAGTATAAACTGTATTTGTTACAAGAGTGTTTACCCACTGAAATTTATACATATATTTTTTCATCTTCCTCTCTCCCCCTCCCCCTTCTTAATCTCTCATTGCAAACAGAAGTCAAGTAGCAAACAGTGCCGCAGCAACTGAGCTTATTACAACCTGCTTTTTATAAGGATATATCAACACAGAGTTATTTAAGGAGGAATCCTGTATTGTTACCAGAAGCTAAGAGGATAAGTGTACCCATCTGGGAAGAGCGAGGACTCTTTCTTAAGTCCATCTGCAGCACCCAGATAGGAAAAGGTCAATGACCCAGGAGTAGCAGTCAACTCAAGCTTGAGTTTTCATTATGGTATTCATGGACCCCTGGAGCACTGCACTATAATGCACAAATGGATACTGACATGGATCCTGCCGCCTTTGCTCTGCAGATCTTGCTTTCCTGTTGTCTGTCTAGTGGGCACTCTAGCGTTAGCTTGCCATGACATGGCTCCAGAGCAAGTGGCTACCAGCGCGAACTGCTCCAGCCCCGAGCGACACACACGGAGCTACGACTACATGGAGGGAGGGGACATAAGAGTGAGAAGGCTCTTCTGTCGAACGCAGTGGTATCTGAGGATTGACAAGCGAGGCAAGGTCAAAGGGACCCAGGAGAGGAAGAGCAGCTACAGTGAGTACCATCTTTTCTTCAAAAAGCGTTTGGCAATTGTGGAAGGATGGGCTTTCAGGTGATGTGCTTTTTGAGTTTCCTTATATTTATGGGAAAAAACTTAACTTCAGTATCACCACCTAACTTTTCTAAATTGTGATTGTTTAGCTATGTTTCTAAAGGCTTCTCTTGGAACGGGGCAAATGACTAATATTGTCCTTCAAACTGATAATGCCAGCCAATCAGAGAATATACATTCCATGTCCTTAGCTCAAAATGCGCCTATGCAAAATTGAAATGACAGTATTCACACTGGATGTAATTGTTTCCCCTGGAAAACCCATTAGCAATTCTTTTAGTTCTCAGTAAAGCTCATCAAAACTACCAAGCACAGTTTGAAGAATAGGGAATTTATTTATTAGTTTAGTCTGCTTTGAAATAATATTTCCATGATGCAAAAGACAATCTGTGTTCAAAAAAGTGCATTCTTGGCCAGTTGTGTATTACTGCAAAGCAGAAGAAAATCTACAGGGCTCCGATCTGCTTGTGTCCCAATGAGCTCATTTTACATTGCTTGCCTACCTACCCAGCAGAAGAACAGATTCTTTCTAACATCTTCTTAATCTAAATCTTCTGTCATATCAAATCTATATTACTTTAAGAGAAAAAAAGTGAAGGAATAAAAGTGAGTTGGAAGAGACGTTAATCTAATGATTTTCAATTAAAGCCTTATATTTTCCTCCCAAGAAGTAGTTGTTCTTTTCATGATAAAATATCAGGGCTTGAGTTGTGAGTCAGTGGTTATGATTAATAGCCAATTTAATAGTAGTATTATGGTTAGTGGTGTAAAATATACACTTCAGCATTTACCTCAGGGCTTAAAAATCCCTAGCGGAAGATGAATTTTATTTGCATTATTAGCACACAGGCAATGTCACTGCTGCGCATTTCATAAGATGTGTCAAAGTCAGTTGAAAAAGGAGGCCCAGAGGGGTGTGGTGGACGCATGCCCCCGGCCAGGCTGATGGTAATTGCTTGCACATCTCAGTGCCTCTTATTAAAGGGCCCTCAGGCTCCTCACTAAACAATCAATAAATGAGAATTTTCAAGAATATTATGTCACCAATATAAAAATGAGTGGATCTTCTTTTTAACCATAATTGATTCAGAAGTGAAGGCCATTCTGATGTTATTAGTCATGATTTTATTTTTATTATTACTGCAATTAATTAAGGTATCAGATTAGCTCAGGAAGGTTTTTCTGACTATTCTGAAGTTTAGTTAAAAAATTGACTGTTTGGAGGAAGTTTTGTCATCTACTACCACTATGTGCAATAAAATGTAGCTTATCATCAGTTTATTTAAAAAATTAGCAAACTTTACCATAGGTAATGAAATCTAGTAGAAAGGCCACAAAGACCGCGTGGAAACTGAACAATCTCTTCGTTTTCCAGTTTTCAATCTGTAAAACATGGACTGTGTTCTCCAACACATTTTCTAGTTCTTATAGTATATCCTGTCCTAAAACACAGAAACCTGTTACATAAATATGAAGAAGCTTAAGTTTCCACTATTTAATAATGACTCATGGCAAATGAATGAATGAATGTGGCCGCGTATTATCTCAATAAGATATTCGAATGGTAATAAGGCTAGAAAACCTAAGTTGTAGAATTCTTTCATGTGCTAACTGCTTTTGAATTTTTTTTTTCCAAATAAAAAGAAAAAAAGATGTAAAATTTAGTGAAAAAATAATATATGTGACTATTTGGTATGAAAAAGATTTATAACTGGAACATATTCACATATAAATTTTATTTTGTCTGTGCTAAAATGTCTTAAAACCACAAAACTCAGGCATCTGTGCACATGTGCAAAATGCTGAAATCGTTTTATATTTTGAAATGCAGCCGAGTGCTTAATTTCAGTAACCATATGTTGGCTAAGTTCAGTAACCATAAGTCATAGCCTTGAGTAACCCTCAGACAACTCACTATGTCATTTCCTTCAAGTGCTAATTCTACAGTAAAAAGATGAAAGAAAACCATTACCGTTATATGCTAGAATGTCACAGTACCAGTGTATTACGAAGGCATGGTATGATCCTGTAAATAATCTCCACATATAACTTTTCTTTCTATCTATCCCTCCCTCCCTTCTGGACATGTAAATTTTCCTAGAGAAAGCCTTTATCAGCATCCTGTAGGATAACCCCAAATGTTGTCCAGTCGTACTGCTACCCTACTGAAAAAAAAGAAAAATGAAAAGACGCCAGTAGGTTTTTCCCAAAGTGAAATAGAGGCTCAGGCTCTATTTCAGTTTTCAATCTGTAAAACATGGACTGAGTTCTCCAACACATTTTCTAGTTCTTATAGTATATCCTGTCCTAAAACACAGAAACCTGTTACATAAATATGAAGAAGCTTAAGTTTCCACTATTTAATAATGACTCATGGCAAATGAATGAATGAATGTGGCCGCGTATTATCTCAATAAGATATTCGAATTTCTTATTGAGATAGAAATAAGGCTAGAAAACGCAGAGGAAATGCTTCGATGGAGAACATGCTGTGGGTGATGAGAAGGAAGTCCCATAAGCCTTTCCTGTTGCTGCACGAGCAGCCTTGCTTATTGTAAGAATGAGCGTCCATATGTGAGCATGCAAATGGACAGGCGCGCTGCTTCCTGCTGTAGGACGCCAGCTACGTCCTTCCTGCTCCCGGTTACCACACGAAGCCCCAGTCCGTCCTCACACCTTTTCTCTGAGTGAAAGGGAAGAAGGTCTGAGGGTGTTGACAGGACTTCCTCAGAGAAGCACCGCTCTCACACAGGAGTGTGGATTTGGCAGGCGGGGTGAGTCAGGGCTGGGGCTTGAACCCAAGGCCTTGTGCGTGTTACAGAAGCTCTCTACCACTGAGCCAAATTCCCTAATTCCCAGCCCCTGGAAATATGGAAAATGTGGGTTGGCATTAGCAGGAGAGGTGGCCCGTCTGGGTGGGCGGCTCCTGGAAGCTAGCGCAACTCTCCTGCTGACGCAGGTGTTGGGCCCGCTGGATGGCAGAGCAAGAGAGAAGAGGGTGGGGAGAGAGAGGGGCCGCTCAGGTCTTAGCGTCAGGGAATGGGAAAAATCACTCCAGCTGCCCTGCATTGTGAAGATCACTTAATTACAGTCCCGAAAAGGTATTTTAAGGGCAGATTAAAATGAACAAATTGCAGAAACAGTGCTCCTAGGAGCTCGGCGCAAGTGGGACCTGAACTTCTAGACACACAAGCCAAAGCCAACCACGTAGATGGGGAATTCAGGGGAGGTGAGGCGAGCTGCACCGCACTTCTGAGTCTCGAGGGAAGAGAAGCTACTACTAGAGAACTGGGCTCAAGCGATGCACAGAATTTTTACCCAGGGGGCAGAAAGCTTCTCCCTACTTGTTCTTGGGAGTGGGGGTCTCCCTTTAGCTTTAGGTTAGGTTTCTAAGCAAACTGGAACCTAATCTAACCATAAGCATAATCAAAACATAAACTGTCTCTCCAACATGGACATTTAAAGGGAGATGGAGGAGTGCACTGGGAACATAAAAAAGGCACTGGGAATGAATGGGCAACCCTGACTTGGGCTGTCAGAACTCTCCCGGGTGGCAAGGCCGGGGGCGAACTGAGATGACGGCTGGGCCAGGCAGCCCTCGGGCAGGCAGGGGCCATCACTGTAGACCTGACAGAAACAACACTGCCTCGAAGCTGGGCACTGAGGTGCAGAGTGAGAGACGGCAGCAGCATGCCAGGCCCTGGGCGGCTGCCCCGAGACCTGGGTGTGGAGCACAAAGCCCTCCTTCCAGATGATTTTCTCATGGTGGGGCTCCACTTATTAAAAACTTGTGTTCTTGTAATAGTTAACATCAGTCATCTTTTTAAGAAGACACCCTTAATTGTCACAAACCACTGATCCAAGGACAGCATGTCTTGTTGGGGCATCACTGAGGGTCATTAATTCTGTAGTGAGAGAAGGGTTAGCCGTGCTGAAAACGGGCCAAGGATTTGGCAGTCTTCTTTCTGCCTTATTCGACTGTGATGGGGCATGGCCTGGCAATTGGCAAAAAGCAAATAAACACAGCATGGCTCGACTGACTCTGGCAACAACCTGCAGCAACTCAGCTGTCAGCAATTCTTTGAACAGTCTCCTGCTCAGTGATGAGCTCCACTAGCTATCAAACACACGTGTCACCTCTGAGGACAGAGATGGGAAATTTACTTATGCTCCAAGTTCTTAGCAAGTTGTTTAAAAGAATAATAACTCAACTCACCTTATCAAAATAAAATGACAATAAAGGGACAACTGCTGCCTTCAAGGAAAGGAAGTTCTGTAGAACATACCTAGAAAAGGAAGTCCTAGCATCACGGACAAGGTTGAATCCTATAAAATGGTGACCAGAATTCCCTTAAGCAGGGGCTGGGGAGATAACTCAGTAGAATAAGTTCCTGCCTGGCAAGTGCAAGGTCCTGAGTTCAATCCCTGGTACTGCGAAAACAAAACAAAACAAACAAAAAAAAAAACCCAAAACAAAACAGTTCCCTTAAGCTGCTGGTTAATGCTTAAAACTCTAGTGAAGAAATAAGCTTCTGGGGAGCATACTTAGAAATATTAGCCATCCTTTGCAAACTCTGAAATTGAAGATTAGTTGAAATTTTATGATTGTTTTTGACTATGACTGGCATTTTACTTGCACAGGCATCTCCTTTCATCTGTGTGTCTTCTGCACAGCTTCATCTGAGCTGAGCATTTCTGTATCACTGTCCCATCTCACTGTCATTCCAGAGCTGCTGATCCTGCATGTCCCTTCAGTCTAGTTTTAGCACATGCAGAGGCCCAAGCAGGCTGTAGGGAACTGCAAAGATAAAATGGCCTTTGCTAGCATTTTAAAACTTCTTAAGCTTAGTTGAATACTGCAATCCTCTGGGGACTTTAAGCATCTATTAATGCCAGACCCCACCCACAAAGATTCTCTTTAAATTGATCTAGAGTGCAGTCT